CAATGTGTTAAATAAGAAGTACATAGTTTAAAATGAAATGAAATATAGCATGAGATTAATGTAGCATGTGATAATAAAATCATTTAAACGTTAATTGAATATTAATTTTCTTTCTTTTCATTTTCATCATTATTTTTTTTATGAAAAAGAATAAATTAAATTTTAATTTATTCATATGAGCAAAAAAAAAATTCATTGCCATAAACGTGTTTTACAACAAAAAATAAAACATTTTGATGTTTAACGATTGAGTTTAAAGTCAATGTTGTTTACACTTGTTATAAACAAATTCGTTAAAAATATGTACAATACAGCGTGAGATCTGTTAAGTTGGGGGAAGGGTAAGGAGGCATATGATGGGGGGTGTATATAGACTAAAATGTGCAAAATGTTGTGAATTGAACCTAAATTTATCAGTTAACGCCTTATAATAAAAAGAAAGAAAATAAAAAAAAGGATGAATGACCTGATTATAAAATCATTAAGAAAATAATTTAAATTTTAGGTCATTTTTATTTTTAAACTGCAATACATATTTCTTTTATTCTCAAAACTTTTGTTTTAATTAACTTTTTTTTGTAATGTTATTTAAAATAAATTTAACTTTTTCTGCCAAATATTGTAACAATTAATCATTTAGTTCTGTTTGTATGCAAATGTTTAGCAGACTTTTGTTTTATAGAAATTGACAATCAGTTGTCATTTGGCTTTTAGCCACTTTTTATTAGTTTCTATCAATATTGATTTGTTAAAGTGGGTTTGTTCTTTTCGATTGTTGCATTTTTTTCATCTCCCATATAAACAAATATTCAAAAATCTGTTTAACAAGTGTTCAAAAAATATTGTTAAAAGTCGTCTGAATGCCAATAAAAATAAATCATGAAGTAATTTGTTTATTTTCTAAAGATTTACCTTTGGCGCAAGGTAAAGTCTTGGCAGTTATACATAAAACAACACAGGACACGCCCCTAATTTTATTGAGGGTCATTCGATGATAAACTAGCCTTAGTCTAGACTACAGACTAGACTATAGTCCAAACTAGACACTGATTTATAGACTATAGTCTGTACTACAATATATAAAGTGGGATATAATCTTCAGACTAGACTATAGTCTAGATTATAGACTATATAGACTAGACTATAGACTAGACTATAGACTAGACTATAGACTAGACTATAGACTAGACTAGACTATAGACTTAGACTAGACTATAGACTAGACTATAGACTAGACTATAGACTAGACTATAGACTAGACTATAGACTAGACTATAGACTAGACTATAGACTAGACTATAGACTAGACTATAGACTCGACTATAGACTAGACTATAGACTAGAATATAGACTAGACTATGACTAGACTATAGACTAGACTAGAGACTAGACTATAGACTAGACTATAGACTATACTATAGGACTATAGACTAGACTATCGACTAGACTATAGACTAACTATAGACTAAGAGACTAGACTATAGACTAGACTATAACTAGACTAGACTATAGACTAGACTATAGACTAGACTATAGACTAGACTATAGACTAGACTATAGACTAGACTATAGACTAGACTATAGACTAGACTATAGACTAGACTAGATAGACTAGACTATAGACTAGACTATAGACAGACTATAGACTAGACTATAGACTAGACTATAGACTAGACTATAGACTAGACTATAGACTAGACTATAGACTATAGACTAGACTATAGACTAGACTATAGACTAGACTATAGACTAGACTATAGACTAGACTATAGACTAGACTATAGACTAGACTATAGACTAGACTATAGACTAGACTATAGACTAGACTATAGACTAGACTATAGACTAGACTATAGACTAGACTATAGACTAGACTATAGACTAGACTATAGACTATAGACTATAGACTATAGACTAGACTATAGACTAGACTATAGACTAGACTATAGACTAGACTATAGACTAGACTATAGACTAGACTATAGAATATAGACGACTATAGACTAGACTATAGACTAGACTATAGACTAGACTATAGACTAGACTATAGACTAGACTATAGACTAGACTATAGACTAGACTATAGACTAGACTATAGACTAGACTATAGACTAGACTATAGACTAGACTATAGACTAGACTATAGACTAGACTATAGACTAGACTAGACTATAGACTAGACTATAGACTAGACTATAGACTAGACTATAGACTAGACTATAGACTAGACTATAGACTAGACTAGACACTATAGACTAGACTATAGACTAGACTATAGACTAGACTATAGACTAGACTATAGACTAGACTATAGACTAGACTATAGACTAGACTATAGACTAGACTATAGACTAGACTATAGACTAGACTATAGACTAGACTATAGACTAGACTATAGACTAGACTATAGACTAGACTATAGACTAGACTATAGACTAGACTATAGACTAGACTATAGACTAGACTATAGACTAGACTATAGACTAGACTATAGACTAGACTCTAGACTAGACTATAGACTAGACTATAGACTAGACTATAGACTAGACTATAGACTAGACTATAGACTAGACTATAGACTAGACTATAGACTAGACTATAGACTAGACTATAGACTAGACTATAGACTAGACTATAGACTAGACTATAGACTAGACTATAGACTAGACTATAGACTAGACTATAGACTAGACTATAGACTAGACTATACTACTATAGACTAGACTATAGACTAGGACTATAGACTAGATGTCCATGAATAAACAAATTTTTTTTCATAGTATAAAGTTCGTGTTGCTAAAACTAAATTTGCTCATTTATAGCTATAGCAATCAATATTATAAAATCTTTATTATAATTTTCTCTAATGCAAAACTAATAATTTTCCCCCAACATACATATACAAACATATCCAACTAAAATTCTACACATTTATTTAGATCAACTATTATAACTACATACATATTTAGTTTACAAATTATCATCTAAATGATAATTATACAATAAAATACTTATAAAAAATTATTTAAAATATCTATAATAGAATTTGTATGAAAAAATGCGAAATATAATAGCACAACAACAGTTAGATAGATTTCGAATATTTATTGTCATATGATAAAGATAAAATAGTAATGTGAAATAAAATTGAAATGAAATTATATGATACGATGATATGTACATATGTGTGTTATTTAGCAAAATCTAATAGTAAATTCAAAACCTTAAACTAAACTGATATGTTGTTAATTAATTTCAATTAGTATTTCAATACAAACGGATCGAATCGGATCATTCACATGTTTGTATGAGTTGTTTAAGTAGGAAAAAAACACATGAATGTATTACAAAAACAAAAATCTATTGCATATTTGTTTTGTGTATTTTGAGTTGTAGTAAAAATAGTTTAATATTTTGTTTTTGATTTTCATATTTTTTTTTTTTTAGCTATTGAACACATCCCATAATTCTGACCACAAATAAATATTTTGTCTTGTATTCATTGCTAGTAATTTATATGCATATGTATGTATGTCTATTATTCGAGATCAGATATATTGTTTGTATATAAAAAGGGTAATGCAAATTGTTATTATTTTTTTTTAACTCATAATATTGTTGTTTCTGTGGCTGTTAATAGACTAATAAATAAATATATTTTGTATATATTTAAACACGAGTTAATATTACACAATACCACAAAAAAATAATGATCTTTAATAACAACACTTGTAAACAAATGTAGATCGTTAGAGAATGAGAATTATTGAGAACGCTAAGTTCTGATCATATGATATGTATTCTCTTCTAATAGCTCGAGAGAATGTATGTTTAACATAATTGAAAAAGAAAACAATATCAATATTCAGATTTATCCGAAACAAATCGGATACTCTGTACTTAGTGTAGTCTGTAGCCTGGACTACAGAGCCTGCAACCTGGGAAATAGTCTGTCCAGACTATATAATTAACTTATATTAAATATAGTCTGGCCTATATTTTCGACTATAATCTGGTCTGTAGTCTAGTCTAGTCTATAGTCTAGTCTATAGTCTAGTCTATAGTCTAGTCTATAGTCTAGTCTATAGTCTAGTCTATAGTATAGTCTATAGTCTAGTCTATAGTCTAGTCTATAGTCTAGTCTATAGTCTAGTCTATAGTCTAGTCTATAGTCTAGTCTATAGTCTAGTCTATAGTCTAGTCTATAGTCTAGTCTATAGTCTAGTCTATAGTCTAGTCTATTCTATAGTCTAGTCTATAGTCTAGTCTATAGTCTAGTCTATAGTCTAGTCTAGAGTCTATTCTATAGTATAGTCTATAGTCTAGTCTATAGTCTAGTCTACTAGTCTAGTCTTAGTCTAGTCTATAGTCTAGTCTATAGTCTAGTCTATAGTCTAGTCTATAGTCTAGTCTATAGTCTAGTCTATAGTTAGTCTATAGTCTAGTCTATAGTCTAGTCTATTAGTCTAGTCTATAGTCTAGTCTATAGTCTAGTCTATAGTTCTAGTCTATAGTCTAGTCTATGAGTCTAGTCTATAGTCTAGTCTATAGTCTAGTCTATAGTCTAGTCTATAGTCTAGGTCTCTAGTCTAGTCTATAGTCTAGTCTATAGTTCTAGTCTATAGTCTTGTCTATAATAAGGACTACGATCTGGCTTAAAGTTAATATATGTGAGTCTATAGTCCGGAATATAGTGTAGTCAATAGTCCGGACTATTGTGTAGTCTATAGTGTGGTCTTAGTCTAGTCTATAGACTGCACTATTCGATAGTTAGAACTATAACAAATCCTATAGTCTCGGCTATAGTCGAGAATATAGTCTAGACTATAACATTTTCCATACATATTTAGGACTATAATCTGGTCTATAATACATACTATAGTCTAGTCTATAATCTGAACAATAGTATAGTCGATAGTCTGGACTATAGTCTAGTCTATAGACTCCTCAAAATTATTTGTACTAGTAATTGGAAAACTCACCCATTAAACTTGATCAAAAAGAATATAAAGTGACTACTTACCTAGAAAGAAAAGAAGAAAAATTTAAATTAATTGAAAATAAACGTAAAAAATAAATATATAAAAAAATAAGTCTGAACTTTGAAATATATTCCAAAGAAATATTAAAATGTATTATATCTTATATATTTAATTTGAACATAATTTTAATATTCCCAATTTAATTTATTACAAAGGTGACCTATAAATTATTACAAAATTTCTCATTAAAAGCAAAAAAAAAAAAAAATAATAAAAAAACACAAATTTCTTTTAATATCTTTCAAATATTGACTGACCCAGTCTGTGCGATAATAATGGCGAAGGAGCAACAACAAAAACCAACATTACATCAAAAATACTTCTAATATGGAAACAAAAAATGAAAACAAAGTTTTTCGTATCCTTGAAATTTCTACTTCAATATGCCGCATCATCTTTAAAATGTATACAACAAAAAAGGAGGAAAAATAAACTAAACGAGAAAAACTACACCCACCACTTAAAATATGAATGAATGTGAAAAAATGTAAAGAATTAAAAGTTTATACTTATTATAATAGTATGTATTCAAAAGCGGACAGGAATGAAGAAATATGCAAGTATGTGTACCATAACCATTCAACTCAAATCTCATGAAAATTTAATGTAAAAAAGTTTTTTTCTTTCTAATTAAAGGTGCAAGGTGATTTCTTGTAAAATATGTCAATATGTTAAGAGAAAATTATTAATACTTATATCGGCTGCAAATCTTTTGATGTGTAATGTAAAATTTCAAAATATTGGTCTAATTGTACGTATTTATTATTTACAGAGAAATAGTTTCAAATCCGGAACTTTATACATAGGAGTGGTTCCGAATACATTTACAAACAAAACACAATTATTCAATTTATATTTAAAAATTTTTTACCACTAACTTATTCCATATGCCTGCCTTTAAAAAAATATTCATAATTTCTGTATCTTAATATTCTTTTTTTTATTTACAGCTGGAGGCACCTCTATTTATTTTTTAAGCATGTTTGGAAAAGGACATTCAAGAATGATTTCAATGGTTTTATACCCCTAACACTGTGCTGTAGACACTGCTGAGATGACAATAAAAGTCGCCGGTCTGGAAAGTGTATACTAAAATGAAAAGAAATTACGGTGCTTTGGAATAAAAGAGAAAATGTTATGCAGATTCAAGGATAAATTAAAATATTACATATTAACAGTAAAGAGTTACAAATTATAACACAAGGACCTTTAAATCTTAAAACTGAACTAGAAATGAATTGGAATTGAACTAGAACAAAACTAGAACCGAAATAAAACTGAACTAGAATGAATTGGAACTGAACTAGAACTGAACTAGAACTGAACTAGAACTGAACTAGAACTGAACTAGAACTGAACTAGAACTGAACTAGAACTGAACTAGAACTGAACTAGAACTGAACTAGAACTGAACTAGAACTGAACTAGAACTGAACTAGAACTGAACTAGAACTGAACTAGAACTGAACTAGAACTGAACTAGAACTGAACTAGAACTGAACTAGAACTGAACTAGAACTGAACTAGAACTGAACTAGAACTGAACTAGAACTGAACTAGAACTGAACTAGAACTGAACTAGAACTGAACTAGAACTGAACTAGAACTGAACTAGAACTGAACTAGAACTGAACTAGAACTGAACTAGAACTGAACTAGAACTGAACTAGAACTGAACTAGAACTGAACTAGAACTGAACTAGAACTGAACTAGAACTGAACTAGAACTGAACTAGAACTGAACTAGAACTGAACTAGAACTGAACTAGAACTGAACTAGAACTGAACTAGAACTGAACTAGAACTGAACTAGAACTAGAACTGAACTAGAATGAACTAGAACTGAACTAGAACTGAACTAGAACTGAACTAGAACTGAACTAGAACTGAACTAGAAAAGTTTTTAAACTTTTCAATGACGTTACTCCTTCACTTAATTGTCACTTTAACCACGTATTAAAAACAAATAACAATTTATGTAATGACCATGACAATAAAACCGCAAACATAACCACATTTATTTAAGGACACAAACCAAACTTACACATACATATACACTTTAACACACAGACACCCACAACCGCAAACAAAACACCAATACCAATACAAATATTTTCTAAAAAAAGCCAATTATCAGCCTTAGAAAATATCCTTCCGCAATTTAGTTAACATGAATCCTTTTTTCCATTTTCTAAACAAACATATTGATTGATGTAAACAAAATCAATACAAAACATCAACAATAGCAGGAATGAAAAGAAAAAATATAGACAACATAATGTTTTTATATAAACCATTATTGAAATAGAAAATTAATTCACACAAACATATTTATAAATCTATAAATGTATGTGTTAACTCTTTATGTTATTGCTTCAACCTGTTTTTTATAGAAAATATATTGAAAATTTTGTTTCCTTTAATTTAAACTTATATAATCTCTTTATATTCCAGCAAAAAAGTGAAAACTTTTTAAACACCACAAATGGCAGACAAGTGAAAAGTTTGTTGTTTTTTATTTTTTTTTTCTGTAGCTGCTGGTTTTGAGTGCTCATGATGATGACGACGATAAACAGATTGAATTACATAACAGAATCTCATACAGAGGCGGATACTGACAATAACATACACAGACATACACGAGAAAAGTATTCATATTATATACACAAATATTTAAACGAAAAGTGCTTGTGTTTGTTATAGGAATCCATGTAATTCCACAAAACAGACATCCTATATATAACAACGCCTCCTCCATAGGCATAAAAAGGCAGCACAAAATATCGTATATAAACACACACAAATTTGAACATGAATAGTATTTATTTGACCCACTGTTTGAATTGGTAGTTTTGTTTAGAAAATTTACAGTTATTTTTTTAAAATATTAGTTACAGAACATTGAAATATTTTTAAAATAAAAAGTTACACCCTCACTTATGGAATTGACTATATACCAGTCAATAGTAGTGACTACCAGTTTATAGTCTCGACTATACTCCAGTCCAATGGTTTGTCTATAAACTAGTCTAATCTGTAGTCTAGTCTAGTCTATAGTATAGTCTATAGTCTGATCTATAGTCTAGTCTATAGTAAAGTCTATAGTCTAATCTATAGTCTAGTCTATCGTATAGTCTATAGTATAATCTATAGTATAGTTTATAGTCTAGTCTATAGTCTAGTCTATAGTCTAGTCTATAGTCTAGTCTATAGTCTAGTCTATAGTCTAGTCTATAGTCTAGTCTATAGTCTAGTCTATAGTCTAGTCTATACTAATCTAGTCTATAGTCTAGTCTATAGTCTAGTCTATACTCTAGTCTATAGTCTAGTCTATAGTCTAGTCTATACTATTCTAGTCTATAGTCTAGTCTATAGTCTAGTCTATAGTCTAGTCTATAGTCTAGTCTATAGTCTAGTCTATAGTCTAGTCTATAGTCTAGTCTATAGTCTAGTCTATAGTCTAGTCTATAGTCTAGTCTATAGTCTAGTCTATAGTCTAGTCTATAGTCTAGTCTATAGTCTAGTCTATAGTCTAGTCTATAGTCTAGTCTATAGTCTAGTCTATAGTCTAGTCTATAGTCTAGTCTATAGTCTAGTCTATAGTCTAGTCTATAGTCTAGTCTATAGTCTAGTCTATAGTCTAGTCTATAGTCTAGTCTATAGTCTAGTCTGTAGTCTATTCTATAGTCTAGTCTATAGTCTAGTCTATAGTCTAGACTATAGTCTAGTCTAGACTATAGTCTAGTCTAGACTATAGTCTAGTCTAGACTATAGTCTAGTCTAGTAGTCTAGTCTATAGTCTAGTCTATAGTCTAGTCTATAGTCTAGTCTATAGTCTAGTCTATAGTCTAGTCTATAGTCTAGTCTATAGTCTAGTCATAGTCTAGTTCTATAGTCTAGTCTATAGTCTAGTCTATAGTCTAGTCTATAGTCTAGTCTATAGTCTAGTCTATAGTCTAGTCTATAGTCTAGTCTATAGTCTATCTATAGTCTAGTCTATAGTCTAGTCTATAGTCTAGTCTATAGTCTAGTCTATAGTCTACCGTCTAGTCTAGTCTATAGTCTAGTCTAGTCTATAGTAGTCTAGTCTATAGTCTAGGTCTATAGTCTAGTCTAGAGTCTATCTATAGCTAGTCTATAGTCTAGTCTATAGTCTAGTCTATAGTCTAGTCTATAGTCTAGTCTATAGTCTAGTTCCTATAGTCTAGTCTATAGTCAGTCTAGTCTATATAGTCTAGTCTATAGTCTAGTCTATAGTCTAGTCTATAGTCTAGTCTATAGTCTAGTCTATAGTCTAGTCTATAGTCTAGTCTATAGTCTAGTCTTAGTCTAGTCTATAGTCTAGTCTATAGTCTAGTCTATAGTCTAGTCTATAGTCTAGTCTATAGTCTAGTCTATAGTCTAGTCTATAGTCTAGTCTATAGTCTAGTCTATAGTCTAGTCTATAGTCTAGTCTATAGTCTAGTCTATAGTCTAGTCTATAGTCTAGTCTATATCTAGTCTATAGTCTAGTCTATAGTCTAGTCTATAGTCTAGTCTATAGTCTAGTCTATAGTCATAGTCTAGTCTATAGTCTAGTCTATAGTCTAGTCTATAGTCTAGTCTATAGTCTAGTCTATAGTCTAGTCTATAGTCTAGTCTATAGTCTAGTCTATAGTCTAGTCTATAGTCTAGTCTATAGTCTAGTCTATAGTCTAGTCTATAGTCTAGTCTATAGTCTAGTCTATAGTCTAGTCTATAGTCTAGTCTATAGTCTAGTCTATAGTCTAGTCTATAGTCTAGTCTATAGTCTAGTCTATAGCCTAGTCTATAGTCTAGTCTATAGTCTAGTCTATAGTCTAGTCTATAGTCTAGTCTATAGTCTAGTCTATAGTCTAGTCTATAGTCTAGATAGTCTAGTCTATAGTCTAGTCTATAGTCTAGTCTATAGTCTAGTCTATAGTCTAGTCTATAGTCTAGTCTATAGTCTAGTCTATAGTCT